GGCCCACCTTGATGGTGCGCCGCTGGATGTCCACGACCACATCTCTGCCCTTAATACGGAACGTCACATCGAAAGGTACCACCAGCTGTTTGAGGGGGAGAAAATGGTTCATGCAAATTAGACTCTGTTTTTCAAATACAAATTCAAAGTACAAAAATGAACGAGGACCCAGAGGCTGAATCACCAAGTGTTGCCGTCTGACTCAAACACATCAGTTAATTTTGAGCGTGTAAAGACACCAGTGGAAACCAGCTGATGATGAGGGATACACTGATGCAACAGGTTAAATATCAGTTTTGTTGGATATGGGTCCTGTTGACAAACATCGGCCTATCTGCAAATAATGTGACAGCACCACTGTCATTAGTTGACGTTTATCTGTTGTGTCGCATCAGATAAAGGAGGGTGAATACTGGTCTTATATTTGGCAAGTGACCAGAGGCACAACTACAAGTTGATTCTGATGATGCTCTGTACCTGCTGGAACAGCTAGCTGATTGCTAACATGTTCACCACGTCGACTTAAAAGTGGAAGGAAGACAACAGAGCTGCCTCCTTTAGATCCAATCTAAAGCCTTCTGTGCAGTGCAGTGTGTCACTGACTCATCAGAGTCAGAGAGATATTAAAAAGTTCAGACTCTGAGGACTTAAAACCTGGATGTTTATGTCACTCCTGGCAGAGTGGGACCTTAACAGGGAAAGACAGAGAAGGAGAGAAAGAGGTGGAGCCGCTGACTGTTTCCAAGCAACAGTAAACATTTCAGCACTGAGCTTCATGTTAGCCAGCGTGCGATTCTTGACAAAAGAAGAACAGGTGTTATCTCTGCCCCGGATCCGGTTCCTTACTAACCAACATGTCATCTTACAAGATCATGTGGTACATCTCTCCATCTAGCACTCACCATTAGTAATATCCTCTCAGAGAGATGTGCCATTATTTTTCCTATCTCAGTTTGTGCATGTTTCAGAATACAATTCTCCCTACTACTACTATTATTATTATTATTATTATTAGGCAGCAACATTTGACAAAATGCTGAGTCGTGTAAAACCTTGTCCCTACACTTTTTTGCAGGCAAACACAGGTTTAAGGGAAATATTCACAGTGGAAAAGCAATACCCTGTTTCCTACACAGCTGCAGAAGCATGACATGTAGAATTTTGGATTCTACATAAAGCAGACCGTGCAATCCATTCTGTAAGCAAGTTCCCTTCCTGATGTTTAAATGAAGCAAACACTATTGATGAAACATTGGGAAACATTAGTAGTTGGTGAGGATCTGATAGGTGAAGCCTGGCCAGGGTGTTTGAATGAAAGTGGCTGCCTAAGTAGCAATGTGATTAAAATAAACACATACCAAGAGGCTTAGCGGATGATGCAATACAACTCAGGGTTGTTCACAATAAAATATTAATTCATAGTGTGATCGTGAAGTCAAATAACACTCACATCGACTTCAGACAGAGACTGTGTCCACTTGTAGTTGGGCAGGTCAGCTCCGTTCCCTGCGTTAGGCTTCAGTTTATCTTTGTCCTTCGCATCCTCCTCTCCCTCCGACTCGGACTGACGAAACAAAATTAAAAAAATCAGCATGACAGCAGAACCAGATCTGACGATAAATCAACACCAAAGTCTTTAACCAACATGCCACTCACCCCCTTTCCTTCCTCTGCTTTTTCAGACACTTTTTCTGCATTCGTTGTTGCATTCACCACTTTCTCCTCGTCCTTCTTCTTCTAAGATATGTATCAAATATATAAACGTTACACTGGTAATCATCTGCAGCAAGCCACAAATGTGACAAAGCATCAAAGCTCAGAGATATAACCTTGTCGAGTTCAGACTGAAGTTTCTCCGCTTCTTCTTCGGTCAGCTCCTGAATTCTCGGACCGTCGTCGTTCTTCTTTTTCCTCTCTCCCTCCGCCAGCTTGGCCGCTCTCTCGGCTTTCTCCTTCTTCTCCTTCTCCTGTTTCATCTGCTTCTCCTTGTGCGCCTTCAGTGCAAGTTTGTTGTGATGGGCAAAGGCATCTTTGACGAGCTGGAAAAAGGAAGAGAGCGATGACGGTTAAGTCCAACGTGCCGCTTTGGCCACTGCTCTGAACGCACGACGAAAGTGGCACCGCTCACCTTCTCAGGAGCATCTGAATCACCGCCGGTGAAGAAATCAGTTTTCCGGCGAAGGAAGCTGAAAAATGTGTTGACTAACTGTAGAGAGAAATATGGGATGTAACAAAGTCTGTCCAAACAATTAGAAAACAACTTATCAAGCTTATAAAAGCTTCCTATTTGCTTCTGCAAAGCCAAAAAAAGCTGAAGTAAAATTGAAAGTAAATGGCATATGAATATATTTTCCCTACATCACACATTATTATTATTATTATTATTATTATTTAACCCACGAGCCTTTCTGACAGCAATGTGCCTCGTGACGTGAAGAATCCGGGATCTTAATGCTACATTCAAATGTCCAATTAGATAATAAATATTCATAACATCTTCTTTAATAAGCAAATAGACCACACAACTGGGTCTTAAAGTAAAATAAATAATATGTTTTTGGGCTATTAATCACTTAAATAATAATAATAAACAGCGATAATTTAGTCTATCTGTTATAACAACATCAAAAAGAAGCACATGATTTCTCTGCATGCTTACACAGGTGTGCCAACTATCCTAAAGGCTTCCTACGTTAGCTTCAGCATTAGCATGGTAGCTCCAGCACACTTAGTTATCACCTCCTGTATTCCTCCTTCGTGTTGTTGCGCCATAACGAGCAGCATGCCGTCGTACTTCTCTTCGTCGTCGCCCATCTTGGGTGAGTTATGAAAAAAACGGTTCAGTAAACTTGGGATTGAGAAATGACCGAAATGTCAAGCACACAGTGGAGTCAGTGCGGCAATGTGTGGAGGCCCGCGGTTGTGCAAAATCACTTCCTGAAAACAAACTCCGCCCACTGCTACGCCTTCTCGCTGTTTGACCAATTGGAAGAGTAGATGGGAAATGACAGCCGAAATGGCCAATCAGTTGAGATAATTACTTTACGGGAGGGACTGAGGTGCGCAGAGAGAATGAGAATTTTCTAGAGCAGTGGTTCCCAAAGTGAGGGGTCCCTAAACCCACTGTGTGGGTTTTTATATGTTTCAAAAACATATAAAAATTGAAAAATGGTTTAAAATTGGATATTTCACCCATAAATTTGAAAATACAGTAGGTAAAAAAAAAAGTAGTTTCTTACAATAAATTACAAAAATAATATGATGGTGTTTGGGCTATTGTTTGCTGTTTTAATGCCAGTGTTTTGACCTAGTGCGTCAAATGTGGGGTCCCAAGTATCTATCACCGTCATAATGGGGGTCGCAAGGTCGCAAGCTGAAAATTTTGGGAACCCTTGTTCTAGAGAGAGAGAAAAAAACAATAGTTATTGGTAATATTTTTGTTATAGCCTACCTCTTCTATTACCTCTAAGACATAACGTAAGTAAAACGCTTTATAGTTTTAAGTGTCCCTGTGATCCGAAAGCCAATGTGTGTTTGATAATTATAATATTCATACATTGGCAGGAAAAAAACTTTGGCATTATGTTGTTAGTCAAACGTAAGCTATTAAAATTATCTTTTGACATATAATGGCCACATATGAGCTTTTTTTTCTTCAACTTATTTTTACCTATTAAACAAAAACATTCAGGCCATCAGCCACAGTCTGGTCACAGAACTCTTCTTCAAGTCAGTCATTGGAGACACAATTATGATACATACAATCATACATTGTACAAGTGTTACAATATAAACATTTAACTAATATGTCAGTTGTAAAGAGTGCTTAAGATGCTAAATAAACTGGACAATACATTATTCAGATATGTAACAGATGACATAATTTACACTGAAAATATCTTGTGAGCGAACAAGAGTGTTGGGCGAACCTGAAACAGCTACAGGTGAAACGTGTTGTTTGCTCACAATAAAATACAGTAAAGTTATTTTCAGTGTGCCACAGTTTTGATTTATTTTTCATGGCATATTCCTGTAACCATGCGCAGCAGAGAACATGTTTAGGCTGTGCACGGGGTACCATGTTGGCCATTTAGATTAGACTTAATTTACACATTCTATCAACTTCTACATGAAGATATTGTTTTAAGAATTGTGACTTCTCTAAAATCCTTATCAATAATTGTGAATGAATGATTTTTCCATTTAATGTGTCCAAATGGGACACTTTAAAGCAGCATTGCCTCACCTTAAAAAAATCTTGACTCCCTCATGTTGTCACATGTTGCAAAAAAACAAAAAACAAAAAAAAAAAAACAAGCAAAAACTTTCTTCTTTTAGTTTCACATCATTTACTGGATTGTGTTTTACAATGACAAATCAGTTTAAGGATGTAGCATGGTTAAATTAAGAACCCCGGCAAGTCAACACAAGTATAAAGTATGTTATCTTGATGTAGAGCCAAAGAACTGCCCTTGGAATTTAGAAAATCTAACGCGCAGAGAAAACAACATTGCTATACCTCAGCAGACAGTCACACCATTAAATCAAATATTAAGTGTATGTGTGTTTAAAGTTAGCTGGTAATATGACAGAGACAAAGTCATTATCATTTACTTAATAGTTCAGGTGTATTTTGGGTTTCTGGTGGAAACCAGAGCAACCAGTTTCACACCATTTCATTATAACCATTCTGCGGTTGAAGCCAAATTCCAGACACACTTTAAACACACTGTGGTGTATTGTCATATTAATTATCTCAGTCCATATTAGTTCAAATTAAAACATAGACTCTGCTTTATACTTTGACTTGAAACAGTGTATAAACTGAAGGAATAACTATTGGGTCAATAATCTAATGCTGATAAGAAGAACACAGAGCTGGGTCAGCTGGTTTAATTCCCAACAGCACCCAGGAGCAAACACAGCGAGTGTGTTGGTATGAAAACACACGAGTCAGTTTGTGATGATGTCCCTGAAAGAATAAGAACCTGCAGCACACGTCCGCTATCATAGCATTATTTAATAAAAGCAAAGACTTACAGACAGGAGGAAAGCATAGGAAATTAACCATAATGCATCACACACCCAGTTCATTTAAAACGTTAGAGCTGGCTGCTTGAGACGAGCTTCATGTGACGAGACTAATCAAAATCAGCTTTGCAAAGAAATTGCACTTCTCATAAAATTCACAAAAGAAAAAAAATGATTCACAAGACCAAAAAAAACCCCTCAACTTCTACTCAAAAACATTTTTTATCAGGGATAAAAAAAAATATATGTACATATATTCATTTATTTTGTTGCAAAAAGAAAGTGCTGTCATAGCCGTTTGTATAGAAGCTAACTCTAACAGACGGTTCAACGTTAGCATTAACACGGTTAACAGAACTCTAAGAACAACAACTCGTGGCCAGGAAATATCCCGGTGTGCAACTCCTTAAAAAAAACAAAAAAAAAACACAACATTTTTATTTTTGTAATTTGGATAACTAAATATGGCGTGTTGACCAACATGTTCTAAGATATGTTTTGTGCCAGTCTATCAGAATCCGAAACCTACATGCTATTTGGCTTTGTTTTAAATCATTCTATGCCACTTGAAGTATTTATTTGGTAGGTTGTGTAAAATGTACATAAAAACAAATATGATGATTTACATTAAACCCCCATATTTACTTAAAAAAGCAAAAAGACACTGAGCACTGATAACACACTGGATGGTGCCTCTCCTCTTTAGCCCTTAGGATGCTGGGGTAATTATTTCCAAACGTACAGAACTTTTGCACTTCTCATGTCTGTCTGTTCTAAATGACCTCATTGAAGCCTTTCACAACTTTCCCAATCTTCTGTAGCCACAGTCCAAACTTTTTTTTGAAATGTGTTGTTTGCACAAAATCTGGCAAGGGAATAAAAGTTCCCCAGAATCAATGACATGTCACTTTCAACCTTTGATATGTTGTCTTTATGCTATTTTTAATCAAATCTGGAGAGTCAATGTTTTACAAAGGAGGTGGTAGAATTACTAACTATGGGATATGTAATCGTGAAATCTAAGCACTTAAATCTAGTTAAAATCACACATTTTGACATTAAAGCTATAGTGACGATCAGATAATGAAATGTGCCAAACACGTTTTTATTCTATCTTACAGAACTAAATCCACATGTCCTTTCAGAACAACAGCTAATGGTCTGAACAGGTCAGGTTTCATGAGCATAACTTCAAGGACGAGGGGACGGTTAATCATGTTCAAATATCTGCCAGCAGGGCAAGCCTTCAATCAAGCTATCCTTCAAACATTATACACTCCTACATTATATTTATCAACTATAAATATCTACACACAGATCCCTGAGTTCACTTAAGTCCTTCAGATAATGTGAATATTTCACATTTTCTTTCCCCCACAGCAGAGCCACACTGAGAGAGCGTGGCTCAGCTAGAGACTCCTGTGCAAGGTTTTCCTCTTCCCGTACGTGACCTTGTAGACACAGCGAGACAAACAACTCAAGCAGAGGAGGCCAAGTGTGGCGCAGGAATCATGTTCTCACTGAGGTCTGAAGAAGTGGCACACCTGAAGAAGTAGTCCCTGTGTGAGCGGAGGAGTAGGCTGTAGGAGAACTGGAAGTGTGGCCTATGAGAACAAAATGAAAACACAATTCATCAGAGGTGACTTGACATTAACTCTGCCAGACCTGGAACAAGCTATCACTTCCCACTGCTGAGCTACTTTGGTTTTAAAAGAGATATTACAAGTAAATGGAAAAAAATGGAAATATGAGGAAAACATTTACTTTCAGTCTTAGAACACAAAATGTTTGCTTTCTGTTACAGAGCACGTCACATTGGATTATGGTAAATGGACTCGAGCTTGTAACACTTTTATAGTCTTTTTACACCGCAGGCCACACCTACACATTCACACACTGCTGGCTGCTGCTGTGTAAAGTGACGAATCCCATTCATAAACACTCATGCACCGCAGATGAAGGGAGCAAGTTGGGGTTAAGAGTCAAGGACACTTCAGACATGTTGCTGCACGAGCTGGGGATTGAACCCCCAGTCTTCCGGTTGAGAGACGACCGACTCTACCAACTGAGCCACAGCCGCTCCAAGTCCTATGTTCGATGTGTAACATCTTTCTTCTCCTCAGCATTGCCGGACCTCTTTTTAAGATATTTTTTGGGGCCTTTATTGGATAGGACAGATGAAGAGAGACAGGACACATTGGGAGAAGAGAGTGTTGGGATGACATAAAGCAAAGGGCTGAGGCCAGATTCGAACCCACGGTTGCTGCGGCGAGGACTAAAGCATCTGCACATGGCGCCTTCGACATAACCACTAGACTATCCTGCACCTTTCTGACCTCATTTTTTTAAATATATAGAAAATGTATTGTTCAATCAAGTCACTGGATACATATATGTGACACTCAAAATACGAGTTGGCCTCATTTAAGAATCCCATATAACATGTTTATTACATTTACGAGGAATTCAAAACATTTTTTCGCTTTCACCATTTCTCCCCACGTTTAAAACTAAATTTATAACCCCGCAGACCCGTCATACAATGTGTTTAGAAAACAAAGACAGTGTAGGGAGCCAGGTGAAATTTGTAAAATCTGTGCAAAACACATGCCTATGAAAAGAGCAACAATTCAAATTTGAGCTCTCACTTAGCACATCTAATCTGGCCCGCTATATTGTTTTGATTGTGACTTTTATTCATTTTCTTGGCAAGTATATATTATTATTATATTATAATAAAATTATTATACATTATTATGTATTTGTATATGGGGGTCCAGGGTTTGATTAAAAACACTGGCCCTACCGCCTTTAAGTAATACGTTGTTTTTTAGCCAACAAATATAACATAGCGGGAGGTGGCTCCATTTGTCTAAAAAGCGTTTTAACTTCATACTGCTTACCTGTGGCAGCTCCTGAGACTGAGCAGCTATGTGGCATCAAATTGACTCCTGTTTATTACTGTTACCATGACAATAAAAGTCAGCTTGCTTTGTTTCTCCATGCACATTTCAAACTCGGAAAACGCAGCAGCATAAAATATGAACTTGGACTCGTATACCCTTTATGTTACTGGTGAATCGTGTGCCATGAGAGTTGGATTTGGTGCATGAACTTTTTAAAAAGTGCAGTCCTTGAATTTGTGCGCACATTTTTGAGACTGGTTTCAGGATGCAGAACATGACATAAAAACACAACCCAAGAATCCAAGATGTCTGACGACGGAACAGAGACTGACCAGTTTTTGCCTTTACTCCAGTGCTACGTGTTATTGAATGATGCACAGAGACAAATGAGTGGTAAAGAACATTTTTGCAAGCAGTAAACAGTATGAAGTAGCTTCACTACATGCACAAACTTTGCAACGGTCCATCCTGTTCGTGTGATATTAACGTCATCCCCGAATATAATATTTCCTGAATATTACCTGCTGTGATCACACACACATCAGTTCGCTCTGACTCTGTGAGGACATTTTGCTGGGGGACAGGAAGGAAGAAGGAAGGGTGAAGTCTGAGTGAAAAATGTAGGAGTTTTGTGTGAGAACACTTTAAAGTATTTATAACTTTTATAGGAGTACATCATAAGTTCAGAATCAGTTTGTATTGCCTAGTACATTTGCATTTACAAGAAATTTGACACTGTGTTTTGGTAAGTTCATTTTACGGCTACAGTATGGTTTTAATGTCCTTAAAATGCAGTGTCATTGTTTTGTCAGAAATCCAAGTGGATGTTTAGAGAGTTGATCAGGAAGTGAAACCATGTTTTATGAAAACAAACCCTGGTGTGTACTGCGCCATCGGTAATATGAGGGCAGACATTGTTGGCACTAACATGCATGTTGGATTTCCCCCGGGCTCGCAGCCAAACAAATGTTACAAGGAAGATAAAACTAGATCATGATTCAGTGACTTAACATAAGGAACAAACCAAGTAAATTGCACAACTTACTATTCAAGCTATAATTTCAAATCTTATTTCAATGGAAAAACAAGAATTATGTTGTATGCCTGGGACCATATCCTTAACTCCTGATTCAAACATCCACCATTGTTGAATGAGTGCTGATCCAATATGTCAAACACTTCTAAGGATTTTGGTTTTACACTACAGTTACTATTCTATAGTATCATCTTTGGGCCAAGGAAATAAATAAATCATAAGGTCCATGTGAACAAAATGTTTTACACCACATTCTATTCCACTTAAATCAGTAATCGACCATTACTGCAAAATAAGCCAAAAAGTCAGTAAAGTAGTTGTCAAGTTCCCTGTGTTGTTCTCCTACACGCGTTCCTTTTATTTTTTTGTATTTTTTATTTTCGAGTCCGCCTGTCTTGTAAACTAAGCACACTTAATTATTATGTAAAGCTGTTATATGTTGTATGACGACGTTATGTAAAAGAGGTGACCGTGCTCAGACCCAGTTAGTCCTGGAGCAGTGTGAGTGCAGGCCAGCAGGGGAATGGGGAGCTGGGGGCATTAGGGCGTAAGTACAATACAGGACAACTTTGTCTAGTGTGACTGAGACATAAATAGAACTCATTCTTATATTTTGTTTTTTAATGTATTACTTTCTCTTTCACTTTATATTTTAATATATTTGAATACCTTACTTTTTGCTTAATGTCATATTTCTTTTAATACTCTTCATTTTCTTAATGTTTTTTTTTTATATCTTTGTAAAGTACTCTGAATCGCTCTATGCAATAATGCTGTTTTCATTTTTTTTTTTTTTTTTTGGCCTTTTTATCCGGTAATCAGAGAGTGAGAAAATGAAGAAAGACATGTGGCACAGGAGCCACAGGTTGGATTCAAACCCAGGCGTCCCACATTGAAAACTGTAGCCCCTGCACATAGGGCTTGTGAACTAACCGCTAGGCCATTGGCACCCCATTAATAGTGCTCTTAAAATAGATGTACTTTGCTCTGCCTTATAAACCTAAGCATGAGTGCAGATGTGCCATTATTTGCAATGCATACAATCACTACTAGTATCTGACTTTCCTGGGCTGCAAAAACATTTATTTATAAATTGAAGAAGCTTCATCTTTAAAAAATAAAAAATAAATACATGTTCTGTAAACCTCCCACAACATTAAGATGTTTTTGAACATCAAGCTAGGGCCATAAAAATGAGTTAAGACACCAAATAGTCAGTCTCAGTATTGGGAAAAAAAATGACATCGTTAAGTAAATTGATGTTCCCCCTCCCCTGTCTGTTATGTATAAAAATGACATAATAAAGGAAGTTTTCTTACCTCCATTGTTCCTCCACATATCTCTGGCATGCTGGTCAGAGGAGGTCAGCTCTGATATTTGAATGTTTGGGTTTGATTTGTAGTCATCTGGAGGAAAAGAATGAAAAATGGTAAATGGTTACTCAATGGCTGGAAAGCAGATCTGTGCAAATGGTGACAGATCATTTGGAATGAAGCAGTGAAGAACTCAAACTCACTGTTGTTGCTGAAGGTATAGGAATCGCTCTCCTTCATCGTCTCGTTCCCGCTGTCCGACAGTGTCCTCTCTCTCCTGGAGACGGCCGGCTTCCTCCTACTTTTCCGAGTGCTGATGCGGATGATTCCGCGCACAAGCCGACACTCCACCTCCTGCTCGCCCATTTGGTGCTCCTCCGCCAGTGAGTTGATGAGATGGTTGATGGCTTTGCTCTTCCTCAGAAACAAAGAGTCTGACGTGCACCTGGCCAACTCTTCGATCTGATATTCGGAGTACAGCTCCAGCAGCTTCTTGGTGATCAGTGAGTCCACGTCCTCTTCGGCATCATCCCAGTCGTCAAATCTCATGGACTCGTGCAGGGACGGCTGGTTGGGTCGTGTGTAGCTGCTGGGTGGAGAAACATATGACGGAGGTTTCTCTACAGCATCTAAATACACTCTCGGACTGTCAACTTTGACTCCACCTATGCAAACATCCCCCAGCCAGTCTGTTGCATCCTCTTCCTTCTTGTCTTCTGGGTTCACAGCACGGAGGCTGATTCTCTCTGGTTCGTCTGTGGAGCTCTCATTTGGTGCCAGGCACGGAGCAAGGATGGAACGCTCACACACCCTATACAGGCCGCATGTGAGCACGCTGCACACGAAGGTCCTGCAGCTCCTCTGAGAAGCGCACGGATTGCAGGTTTGCGTCGCAGAGGGAGGGTCGGCCGAGCCAGGAATGAAGCCGATGGTCTCAGACTCCTTTCCGTTGGCATCTTTCAGGTGAGCTCTGTGGACCGTCTTCGGCTCTGGGGTCGGGAGCCTGTCTTCCACTGGATCCACACATCGCTCCTCGTAAGACGACCTCTGGCTGCTGCTGCTGCGGCTGGGTCCATGTTTGTGGCTTCCAGCTCCTGAGTTGTGTCTCAGACTGCCAGTGCTGCCGGCTGACATGACTTACTGGCTCAAGAAATCTGAACAAACACGGGAGACAAAGGAGTCAACTGAGATGTCACGTAAGACAGTATTTAAAAAAAAAAAAAATCACTAAACAACAAGCTTGTCTTTTATCCAATCTTCCAGGCTAAAACTCAAACCACTTGAAGCCACCTGAGGGCATCGCTCTTCAAGTCTCATGTTGAAACTACTATCCCCAGGTGGCAGGCAACCCAACTGGTTCTAATGAGGATAAGTGCCACACAGGAAATTATGTTTGAAAACTTAAATAGCATATAAAAGCCACCTCTTTTAATAGAGTGAACCAATTATGTACAGTGCCGAAATTAATAAAAAAAACTATTTTAATCTATGATTTAAAATCTAAAATGATGTCTTTACGGGTATAAATATGCTTTGAAACCTTAATACGAGTAAAAATGCCAATGTCTCATAACGAGTCTGGCGTTACGAGCCTAGGGCATCTGTTTAGGTCGAATGAAAGCAGTGTTTATTTTATGCATTTCGATGAAAAACAAACAAAGAAGTGGCATTTTATATGCAGTGTGTCCTTCTTGACTTTCTCCCTAATAATTAGGCTGCATGTTACCGTTTGACACACATGAACTAAAGCTCTATTCGTGCTTCAGAAAGTAATTTCACTTTCATGGCGACTCGTCATCGCGGCTCTTTCCTCCATTAGAGGACTTCTGGACTCCTCACTAAAAAACATTACTCACAGTAAACACGGTGAGTCCTCCAACCGGCTCCCGAATAAACACCGTCTTCTTCTCCCGTCATAAAAGACTTCTGTTTAGATCCATTCTGAGCCACTCCTCACATGAATATCGCGCAAAAAATGTCCGTTTCAGGTGAGTTTTAAACCAATTCCGTGTACCTGCGCGTCAAGGTGGAAACACACCTGATGGCAACAAAAACAGGAACACTTCCGGCCATGTCTTAAAAAAATAAAACGCAAAAATTGCAATTTTAGTTTGGAACTATTACGCACTGTGAATGCGTCCGAATCACGAAACATTATGGCTACTGGAGAAAAATCACCAATCAAACACAATAATTAATTAACTCTCAAACCAAATGTCGACATGAACATTTTATCTAAGATCATATTTCCGGTGTCATGGCGAGCACTGTCTGACTTGAATCTAAATATGGGCCTCCGAAATATTGGTGTGATCTCTAAGCCAAAGTGTTTTTGTTAAAACGACAAGATATTACTTTTGTGTAAATACAATAGTGATGATAGGCTACATCTTCAAACGTCTTTACTTTTTTATTACTGTTTTGAGTCGTATAAGACTTTAAAAAAAAAAAAAAGCTTTCCTTGTAATAATTGATCAGGACCCTCTCTGCAGCATCTATGTGTTGGACTTCATGGCCTTCCTCTAGAAGCTTATTTTTTGTAAGAAAAACTTTTTTCCAAGACCTGTCAAAGAAAATCACGAAACTGTTTGACTAGGATACTTTCAACACAAGTGGTTACTGATATATTTTTTGTGAACACCTTAAAAAGGGTCAAGCTTGGCACAAACAGTGGACAAAATGCACAACTCTCAACAAAGTGTTTAAAGCTAAAGTTTGCTTCAAGATAAGTTCCAACAAACGGTCAGGGATACAAAACCCCAGGGTAAAAACAAGATCCAAAAATCAGCACAAGGGTCAATCAGTGAAAAGAAAAAACCCTCACACAAGGTACTGAGCCAAACTGGCACAATAAGAAGGGGACACTCAGACTAAAGGCAGATGAGGTACAGCTGGGACTATGAGAATGACACAGGAGGGTTGGGGTGGACGGTGATACATGTGGAAGACACAAGAGGGCAGCAGAGGGAACCTGGAACTCCAAACGGAGAGAACTATAATATTGAAACAAACAGAAACAGAACTTAGTCTGAATATTTGGTTATGACAAAAAAGTACCAAAACGAAATAATAAACTAAAGTTAAAACAATGGTCATTTTACAAGTGTAATATTGTCGATACATAGTTAACCTTGGGCTCAAATTGAAACTTGTAAAGCTGGAGAGTGTAATAAATATAAACAAGACAGTAATATTGACCATGAAGTGCTTAAAATAACAATTATCAAGATGTTACCAACAGACCAACATTGACGTCAACTCGTGTGTTAGTTGTGTGTAAATGATCAGAGCTGAATCTAAGCTATATTAATAACTAATTTGACACACATTAGGCATCTTAAAATGTTTTTTATTTTTTATTTTTTAAACCTGTTTAAACAGAGGCAGCTGGAACAAACTCACTTTTAGTATTTGTTGAAATGGAAAGATCAGGACCAAAATCTCTCCAAGTGCCCTAAAAAAGGCCAAGACCCAAACTAGACCCAATATGACGCTCCTGGAGCAATATGCAAAAAAGATATAAGCTCCCGAAAGAAAGAAAATCTTTCATGGTTTCTTTGTTGTTGTGTTTTTTAATTGAAAAACCAGCAAGTAATGAGCAAAAACTAACTGCAGTACATCAATGTTATTAATGTTGCAGGAATTATAGTAGATTGTTGGTAGGCCTATTCTGCGAGAGAGCATTGCTTATTGTAGCCTCAAGTTTTTAATGGACATAAGATAAGATAATATAATAAAACAAGATAAATAAAACAAGAGTACACATAAAATACAAATATACAGGACTACAATAAGAATAAAGATAAAGGTACAATGTATTTACAACTATTAGCAAGTAAATACACCAATTAAGATCTTAATGTAGGCTACACTGAAAACTATAGGCTACATACTCTACATGAGCCGTGTATTAATCTTTGTGTTCGCACAGTGCGGTTGAGCATTTCTTTATTAGAATAGCAGCTTTACAAATCAGATCAGACAATTTAAAACATACAAGGTATTTAAAGTTTGACATTACATGAATACAATTGAAGTTGAGCCCCTTTGCTAGCTAAAGTTAAGCTAAACTTTGCTAGAGTAAAAGTCAGGACGTGCACGTGAAGAAAAAGCAGGGCCTTTCACTGTGTGTAGATTTTATTGTGTACATTAAATTATTTAAAGTAACACCGAAATAAATGTGTCTTTAGTGATTATTACTAGCCTACAGTTAGTGCTTTATGTTAAATAAGTAATTGGTGTGTAGTCGGCCTATGTGTAAAATCCTCTCAGCGTCATCACATGGGATTTTAATAAGTCGTCTGTTTATCTGATGGGTCTCTTAAAACCTGTTTATGACAAGTGTGGTTTTATTTTCATTTGCCATGTTTTAACTTCACTATTAAATCTTCAGATACAAAATCTATTGAACATTATTTGACTTTTGTTTTGGATGTCACTTTCAGAGCGTGAAATCCTTCTTACCTGTTTATCTGCAGCCTTGTTTTGTTGATTAATTGTCAAGTTATAGGTGAATATGATTTCTATATCATCAATATGAAACACAGTCGACCCTTGATATGTGTGTATTGTGTTCTAATTGGTAGTGACTCTTGTGTGTTTTATCTCATGGTTTCATAATCAGTGCTGGCTTTGTTTATTTGTTGTTATGCCTCTGTTTGTTGTCTGCTCCAGATAATTGTTAACTTGGGTTGTTTGGTGTGTGTGTGTGTGTGTGTGTGTGTGTGTGTGCAATGTTACGGTCATGCTTTGTGCTGTGATTCATCCGTCATGTTTGTGCTCATAGGCAGGCTGGGCCTGGGACCAAATCAGTATTTTATCACAAGGTAAGAATTTCCTAAAATCAGCATACGTTCTTACAAAGTAGTGATGTCCGGTTCCTGTGTTCTCTGCTGTGATCGTGTGTTGGAGTGTTTGGATCTTATTCAGGATCAATAGAGGAATCTTGTGTGAGCTGTTGGATGTGTCTTGATTTGATTTATTTGGTCTTCCTTGAACATCTGTCAAAATGAGATGTGTTTGTTGTTTCTACTCTTCTGACATTTTAAATTAGATGGGTCTGTGCTGGGAAAAGGTAATGTCTGTTTTCGTCTGCTATATTTTACGACATAAGAATAAACATTATGTAAATCTATTTTTTTAAAGCTATTTTTAACTTTGATTGTTGCGTATAAGCTCGCAATCAAAAATATTGAAGTTTTCTTGTGCTTGAACTTTTTCCTGCAGCTGTCTTCTTCATCGTCGAGCGCCCTGCAGCTGAAGGGATTCCGGAGCTGATCAGGATCATCGATGACGACGAAGGCGACGTTCTCCCGATCGACACCTCGATCAGGGATGTCGACCTTCTGGAGGATGATGATGAGGAACCTGAGGTTCTTCATCTGGGTGAGTATGTAACTACACAATTCTGCCCTCTTAACCATCTGGAGGGTGAGGAGGAGAGGGAAGAAGAAGAGGAGGATGAAGAGGAGAGAGAAGAAGAGGAGAGAGAAGAAGAGGAGGATGAAGAGGAGGAGAGAGAAGAAGAGGAGGATGAAGAGGAGAGAGAAGAAGAGGAGGATGAGGAGGAACCTCCGGTAAGTTATCATGGTGAGTATGTAAACGCACGATACCGCCCTTTTACCGGTCTCGAGGATGAGGAGGAGACAGAAGAAGAGAATGAGGAGGGGGAAGAGGAACCTGAGGTTATTTATCATGGTGAGTATGTAAACGCACGATACTGCCCTTTTACTGGTCTCGAGAATGAGGAGGAGAGAGAAGAAGAAGACGAGGAGGAGGAGGAGAGAGAAGAGGAGGAAGAGGAGGAGGAGGAGGAGGAGGAGGAGGAGGAGGATGAGGAGGAGAGAGAAGAAGAGGAGTAGGATGAGGAGGAACCTGAGGTTATTTATCATGGTGATAATGTAAATGCCCTTTCAACGGTCTCGAGGATGAGGAGGAAGATTACCATGAAGAAGACAACTGGTCCGATGAGTCGTGGGAATATTCTGGTCCGGCCAGCCAAGATTCTGGTTATGACTCCATGTCATTTGATGAAGAGGATGGTGAGGACTTGGATGATGGTGGAGAGTGCTGATGAAGATGATGAGGACAGCATCAGAACTCTTCGCTTTGAGGACCTGCCATCACCCTCCCAGAAACTCCTGGAGTTGCCTTGACCACATCCCTGAAGAAGCAGCTCCATCCACGTCTGGCCTCATTACCTCCAGGAAGAGGAGACGAGAGGAGGAAGAGGAGGTGCAGCATCCTGCTCAGAAGCCCAGGAGAGTACAGAGGAACCCACTCCCTCAACTTCAGGCCCAACGTCCCTTTTGAGCAGAAACAAAAAGGGGTTAAAATAGTTTCTGCCAAATAATGCATCATTTAGCTTTTATTTCTCCATGGGAACTTTAAGCTAAACGACCTATCATAAGGCTTAATGAATTTAACTTTAAGCTTAAACAACTTATCTTAAGGCTTAAACAATTTAACTTCAGGCTTAAAGGATTTATCTTAAGGCTTAAACAATTTCACTTCAGGCTTAAACAACAATATTAGCAGCTATTTAGGTTTAGCTTCACTGCAACAAATTAATGTCTAAAAAAATCTGTCCATCTTAAACAAAAGTGAATTCACAATGCTTTCATTTATGAAAACATAAATATAAATAAATAAATATTTATTTATGACCACAAATGAATGTCAAATACACCGAACCAAGTACAGACTACAATAATAAATCAATATCTCATTCGCTAACATGGAATATGAACAGCTTTAAAAAAAAAAAAAAAAATTAGATTAAGAGAAGCAATATTGTTTCGTGTCACTATCTCTGGAAAAGTTTGGTTCCTGTCGTTCTAAATGTAGATTTTTAACATATAAAAGTAATTATTAAATAGCGACACTCAAACTAACTTTAGGATTCAAAGATTGTTATCATTACATTTAAGTTGTTACGCTTCCGCTGGCGAAACTCGAATTAAGACTAAAACTTTAAAGTGTTTAATGTGCAATTCTTTAAAATACCAGGACTACGAGTTGTTTTAAAGTTGTTTTCTTTTATTAAACTCTGAAAATGTCACGCTTTGTTATTCTGCATAATGTGTCCGAAAGTGGTCTCCGTTTTACCGGATATTGTTTATTTGAGACATAATTTTTAATTTTTTTAATTTTTTTAATTTAATTTAATTTAATTTAATTTAATTTAATTTAATTTAATTTAATTTTAATTTAATTTGATTTGATTTGATTTGATTTGATTTAATTTAATTTAATTTAAATTTAAAACGTAGGTCAATGTTTTAAGTAATATTCTCACAAACATACCTAAACAGTTATGTATTAAACGAGATGTATTTTGAAAGAAAACCGGAAATACACATGTGTTAAATTTGATAACAACTAATTTGTTAGGACGGAGGAGGAAGAAGCGTTTTCAGCACAACAAAAACATCAGTCACCAGTATGTGTCAGGACTCTTGGTAGGAGAGCAATAGATATCAAACAAGTGCTTCCTCTAATATCTGCAACGTAGGCCCTTTTTTTTAGATTTAGGAAAAGGTTGGATAATATATGTGCAAAACGAGTAGGCTAACCTGCTAGCTGTGGGTCCTCTGATATTAAATTGTCCGCAGCTGGATGAGTCGGCTCGTCTCAGCTGGCTATAACATCGACGTTACTATGGTGACAGTCTGGACGAGGACTTAATGACGAGGCATGGGAGGAAACTGGGGTGTGATTTCGACACCTGGGATCGTCTTTAGGTTTGTTTACAACCGAATGCCCACACAGTGAAGGAGTCGCTTGTTCTCGTACAAGACATGACGACATTTTTCACCTGACATCAGCCTCACACTCGGACGTCGGTGATGCTGTCGGTGGCTGGACTTATGCCCTGGTCGTCGGGATAGGGGGACACAGCACCCAAAAAAAAACAAACTCCATTGTCAACCATGAAAAACTGCGAGTATCAACAAATCGACCCGCAGGCACTTCCGACTCAAACCCCTCCACCTCCTCCTCTCCAAGAAGAAAAGGAGGAGGAGGAAGAAGAAGGAGGAGAAAAGAGAGAGGAGCCGAGAAGACCGAGGAGAAAGTGGGAAGTTTTCCCCGGGAAGAATCGCTTCTACTGTGACGGACGGATTATAGTGGCCCGGCAGGGTGGGGTCCTGCCCCTCACCCTGGGCCTTATTCTCGTCACATGTGGATTATTCTTTGTATTTGAGTGAGTTCATGTTTCATGATCGGTTATATCACTGTGAGGTCAGTGGTTGCGTTGTTGACATCATCACTATGATGTGTGTGACGGATCAAAACCAGCTTCCACAGAGTCAAACCAGCTATATGAATGGAAATGTTTTGGTTTATGATATCTATGCTTAAATTCAGAGTAGGCCCTGATGGCATCATTTATTTAACTCAATCAAGCAGTTTCAGAAGCAGTTTCTTGACTAATACTTGGCTTTTAAAGGGTCAGATTCCATACTGTAGTCTGGTAGGGATTCACAAAAGGTGGCCGTCAGATCTCTATTGGTCCCATCTTTGACAGTGGGTTGAGTATATGACTGGTTGTATATTAAATAAACATAAAGTGCCTTTATTGTGCAGAGGACATCATTTTTGTACATCTAAGCTTTCACAAAATCAGTTCAGAGGTCATAATGTCTGCTAAGGTTTTTATTAAGCATATGTATCAGAGCCTTCTATGTCTCATCATGTTTTTCCAACATGAATTGACTTTTTTTTTTTGGGAAGATGTCTCTATTACTGTGTTCTGAGAAGTGTGCGCCATCTTCAGAGAGTCAGATGGTGATTAAAGGAACTGAGTGTTAATTTAAACAGACTCCCAGGTGGATCTGAAAAGTAGGCTGAGTTGTGTGAGACAGCTGGGCTCTGTGCTCCAGCTTTTGAAATGATTAGCATACCCTCATAAGTCCTTCTCTTTCTCTCTGCATGTCTCATATTACAGCTGCCCCTTCCTGGTCAAACACCTGACAAGCTGCATCCCATTTATTGGAGGTGGCTTGTTTGTATTTGTGGTCATCACCCTGCTCCAGACCAGCTTCACTGACCCGGGCATCCTGCCCAGAGCAACACCAGATGAGGCTGCAGAGATCGAAAAACAGATTGGTGAGTGCAAACTCAATAATATGTGGGTCACGACTATGCTGCTTTGTTTGTAGTGCTTTTGGTTTTGACGTCCGGTATCATATCATATATCAGATTTATTCAGGGTTCTTAGGACTGTGGCTGTAGCTTTTGAGGGGAGACCTCTGCAGATAATTAGGGTCCCCTGTGAAAACCTTTGAAACAATGAAAACTGAAGGAATCTTAACCTTACAAGAAGGGGAGAGTAAGAAAACCTTTGCTGCTGTTCGTAGCAGCTCAGCTTGCAGCCCCTCTGAACAAGTTGTGTCCAACAAAGTGTTTTCGAAAAACAAACTGCTTACTCTATGTAGCTCCTATTAACCTTACATTATACACTAGCACAACACTTTAGATTTTTACTGATGTCAAATGCTAATTACAGATTTCCAATACTATTGTTCCTTCTCAGTATTGATTCCAATACCAGGAATTGTGTAGTGATCTATAACACAGTAACTGGAGATAATTAGTATAATTTTTGCCAGGTTAACAGTCCTGATTTTTAACATGACTAGCTATCGTTAGCCACACTCAGCAAACCGATCTGACATTCTTTACCCACAGACGCTATGATTAAACAAATTGTGCTCAGTTTTTTACTGTTTACTTAACTTTAGGCTAGTCAGATAGTCTGAATTTATTTTAAGCTTAACTGGCCATGAGATTGGTCCCTAGGAACATCTGTAGTTTCAACCAAAGGGACCTTCCTACCAAGGAATTTAGAACACCAGGGACACTTCACTTTATGTGGTATTTCTATTTCTTTGAAAAAACAACGATTCTGAACTAAAACTGCTTTAAGGAAGAATGAGTGACTTTTGGATCCAGTAGATGTCGCCCATGAGCACCAGGATGAAACCAAAACAAACTGCCTGTGGCCTGCGTTGTTGTGTTAGCACAATTTAGTTAGCTTGTTGCTTCACATTGCACATAAATTGCCACAGAATGCCCGTGATCTAAAAACGCTCATGTGACATCCAAATAAACAGTGAGTATGTTATTCTTCTTTTCTCTAGTCCTTGACTAAAACAGCTTTATTACACAAGTAGAGAACCCGGCCGTCTTGTCCATGTAAACACAGCTAAGACAACGCTGCCAGGACGACACACAATTCTCACTCATTGTAGACAGTCATGACTCAGAGAGACATTTACAGATGATTTACTTGATTTCTGCTTTATTAATGTGTAAAATGTTGCACATTCTTCCTTTAAGCCCAGCATACTAATTAAAAAGTCACCCTCTTTCCCTCCCTCCATTCACTGATGTTAAACTCTAAACACATACTATGTGTAGTATTGTCTAAGGGTGCATTTTGCTTCAGAGCTGATATTGAAGGTTTGGTTTTTTGAGCCTCTGTTTTTTTTACTCTAAAGCTGTAACATACGGCGTTTCTGACGGGGGAAGTTCTTGTGCCGCTAGTTCAGTCAATGAAGATAAAGCCTTCGACGCGTTAAAAGTCCAAATTAGAATCTGTGAAAGACTTATTTGCTCTGACTCAGTGTAATGAATGTCTATAAGCATCCGTTAGAGCATTTTTTTCTGGAAAGAGTTAGCTTGGCTTCTGAAACTTGGACTGGACTGGGAGATTTGTTATCCCAAGCTGTCCCTGTTTCTCAGTTCAGAGCAGTACATCAATTCTGTAAAGTCTTTCCAACTGCATCTCTTTCATCTGACATGCTTCAGTGTGATGTCATCAGCATCTAAAGTGGGCTCCATGTGGACCTGAACTCCTTCAAATGACCAAAGTTTATGCTGTGCTGATGTAAGGTGTTCTTATTAGCAAACAGTGCTGCTGTTTTTCAGGTTTTTTTTGGAACAAAAGCTCTGACAGAAGTCCTAAAATATACCTACCAACTTTCGTTTCAGGAATTTCTTTAGATATTTGGTTTTATTGGGCACATTTCTGAAAAAAGTAACATAGGCTGAATTAATATCTGATAAAAAAAAAAGATACAAATTGGCATAGCAAGATAAAAATGGTTGAAAATGTTGCTCCCAAATGTCTTCTGTTTGAAATTTCAGAAGAGACCATTTCCATGTTGTCGTTCGAATTTCTGAACTTTTGTTCATTAACTGCTTCAATGTGCTCTGAGTTTAAAAATATCAACTATTCATCATTGATAAGAGTTTTACTGGGAGCTTTATTACCCACATAGGTCTCACCTCTCATATATAACAAATACCGGTAGGTGTTAAATATAGGTAAAACAAGTGAAAAAAAGAATTAACTACAGTATCTCACCAAAGGAACTTCAGGGGCTGCGAGCCAAGCTAGCATCATCCTGGGCTCCATAGATAGAAAAGTTTTGTTAGTAGATAGAGCTTCTTGAGACTGAATAATGTTCACCTTTAAGGTAAAACATGAGAGTTATGAACTGAACTGAGGGGAAAAGTCAAAGATTATTTAAATTGAGTTGCTCAACTAGCATAACTTTGATTTGGGAAGACTTAATTAGATATAGTTAATATAATTAAGAACAGTATAACCATGAATGTTAAGCTAGGTTCAAATTATGCGTGCTAGCTCACTGGCTAATCTCAGAACTGTGGCATCATGGTTACTATTGATTGATAAACCCTTCTTTATATTGGAGGATTTTGTTGGACATTTTATTTGATGGTCTGATGGTTGTTAAGGCTGCAGCCACAGAGCCAAACATAATTTTATAAAATCCCAAAACCTTTGTCATCTGAAACAGAAACCTGTCTGATAAGTGAGCAGAAACACCTTTGTGTGGATAACTTCATTTGTCAGGGCTGGTGTCAAATTCAGATGAATTCAAAGTAATAAAGCCTTGCAGAGCAGAATATAGACAGGTGTTGAGGTGCTTATAATGAAAGGCCAACCATTATAGCCTTTGATGAATTGGTCCGTGAAGCTGATTGATTTAATTCAGTTGTTTCTCCTTCCGCTCTGTAGACACCACTGGAAACAGCAGCTATCGGCCTCCACCGCGCACGAAGGAGGTCGTCATCAACCAGCAGGTGGTGAAGCTCAAGTACTGCTTCACCTGCAAGATGTTCCGACCCCCGCGCACCTCCCACTGCAGCCTGTGTGACAACTGTGTGGGTGAGCTGCAACACACACCGCCACTCTGACATTTACCCAAGACAATTTATGAATAGAGAGCTCACAGGGCCGAGTGAGCATCACTTCATCACTCTGGTTCAGGTTGGACACGTGCTTGAATCCCAAACCTTTACAGCTCTCCTTCAAATATATTTTGAATAAATGACTGTCTTCCAACTAATTCTAAAGTCTTCTTTGCATGCGTTTGTCCCTCAGAGCGATTCGACCATCATTGCCCCTGGGTGGGGAACTGTGTGGGAAAACGCAACTACCGTTTCTTCTACACCTTCATCGTGTCCCTGTCCTTCCTGACGGCGTTTATCTTCGGCTGCGTGACCACACACCTCTCACTGAGTGAGTTTCATTTTTTCTCAGGTTCATATTAGGCTACATAATATTTTATAAAAACTTAGATTGATGCATCTTTTGTTTTCCCTGCATTATTTATATTGTGATATGAAAAAACACAGGAAATGTAACAATCTACAGAAAGTGTGTTATTCATATACAGATACTATAGACTGTGTAAAACATGGATGTAGGCTCAGCGGCGTCACCCTTTGGTTTCTGGAGCTCAACAATGGTGGTCGCTATACTGGAAACACTGTCTCAAACCAAATTTCAGTCAACCTAGAAACAGACAAAGAGGGGTAGCTGAAGTGGGCCTTAAGCCTCCTGGCAAACAGCTACAACACTCCACTCCAAAAACAGATGAGTTTAATTGACTGGTTTGTGTTTATTATGTCGTTCCCATTTGGCCCCTTGTGTGTGTCTTGATGGGTGGAGTGTTTTTCTCCACCCATCAAGTAGCCCTGAGAGAGACACAATAAAGTAAACATACTCGAGCTTGACTCTTGTATTATTGCCCCCACACCAAGCAAATTAACCGAAACTGCTGAATCACACTTTTCTTTCATGGACTATGCTTAAGCATCTGAGCTTTTGAGTCAGTGTGTTTCCTCTCTTTCAGGGGCCCAAGGAGGAAAAGGCCTGGTGTTTGCTCTGCAAGAGAGTCCTGGCAGATATCCTTTAATCACGACTGTCTTAGAGATTACTTTAAAAGCAACATAACACTTCCAGTTAGTATTTGTTTCTCTCCCCTTTAATAAACTCTTGTGTTCTTTGACCCAACCTTTCACTGCAGTGGAGCTGGTGATATGTTTCTTCTCAGTCTGGTCCATCTTGGGCCTCTCAGGCTTCCATACTTACCTTGTTGCTTCCAACCTCACCACTAATGAAGACGTGAGTACTGATTTGAAGGGAATCCGCTACATCACAATAATAGAAGCTTTGAAAGGAATATTTACATTTTTCTTCATCATAACAGTTCAATACAATTCAAGAACTGCAAAGAAAACAAAAACATGACATATTGCACATGAATAATTTTTTATGTCTTGTCCGTCCCAGATTAAAGGCTCCTGGTCAGGGAAGGGTGGAGAAGATGTCACCAACCCATACAGCCATAAAAACATCTTTATCAACTGCTGTGCTGTGCTCTGTGGACCCATGCCGCCCAGGTCAGTCTCAGATCTCACATTTACCATGAAACCGGTATGCACCCTCTTCTTTTTTACACCTCATTTTGCGATATCTGTGAGTTAGTACTTCTGCCTCATACTGTTCTAATACTTGTGAATGCAATTTCTCAGCAACGTCCAAAATGTTCACCTGTGCCTGAGGAGGACTCGATTAGATTTTGGTGTTCAAAGGTCAAAACCGAAGACTTCAAACAAAAACTATAAAACATTTTTGGAAGGATAAAATTATAAAGGGATAAGACTTGTCCACAAAATTCAAGGTCAGCTTCTCTGTAAGAACCTGTCCATGTTGGACTCAAAACTGAACCGATAACAATTGTGGATTCTAAGGTCTAAAAACTCTTGTGACCTCATGTGTATCTGATTATACTGAAGACGACAATGCATGAAGCAAATTCTCTCTTACATCTGGCTTTATTTATACTGTATACTTTGATACTTCAGAGAGAACGAGGCCATCAGAAACAGGTGGTTAACAAGAGACAACCCCTCTTAACTGTCCTACATTTATATGCAGATCTAACCCCCAATTCACACATAACATGTACCTTACATACAGCACTGAGGGTTTATGGGATATTGAGACCAAAGATAAATACATCCTAATGACTTCTTTGTCTCCGTTTGTTTCAGCTTGATTGACAGACGAGGTTTCCTGCCCTCGGATGAGTCTGTCCAGACGGCGAGTGTGGACATCGAGCTGCCCACCCAGGCCACTAAAAGCGAGATAAATGTGGTAGGAGGATCTTCCCAGCTGGCTTTTGGCTTGCAGGAGTCCCCCTCCCCAATTCCTGCACCCCTCAATTCCCATCAAACCCGTTCCTCTGCCTGACAGAAGCCGTGTTACCTGCTGTAGTCCTGACTCAGTCTCTGTCTGTTGTGAATGGGTTTTATCCCAAAGTATTGTGGAGTTACCTCGATGTGAGAGGAGCACTTATCATTTAAAAGGTTGTTAAGTTGTGCATATCAGCTCCATTTGTATAAGCTTTCAGGTTGAAGGTTTTTTTTTGTTCTGAAGCTAGAATATTAGCGATTTCTAAACACAAGCCACTTAAAGTACTGAAACCTTTTCAACTCGCAGATAATGTGTTTTTATTTAGTTTGTCATTAATGGAATATGACAGGTCTGAAACAATTCTCCCTTCAAGTTTCTCTTTACAACTTGATTTTTATGGACAGAAGAAGTTCAAGCTCCTCATAAAATATAGATATTTATATAAAATGTTGGCAAACCTTGGTGGTTGGTTTATGTAGGTGTTTAAGATATATGTACAGGTTAATGAGACAAATGTCGAGGGGTTAGCAGTTGTTTTTTCAAGGCTATCGAGTTTTTAATAAGCTAAGCCTATTGACTGTTAGGCTCAATATCATGTGAAGTATTGAAACACAAGGGTTAATCAGTCCTCTCATGTTTTCTGAAAGTTAAACTTTACCTCATGGATATGAACGAATCAGGTGATTTATAATGTTTCTCCTTCTCAATGAAAACAGACAGAAGAGGACTGAGGCTGTGCAGCAGGAAACATCGTTATGAGTTCAATCATTGAATTTAACAACTTTGCGACTAAAGTAAAAATATCAAGAATCAACTTTTGAGAGTTAATGCCAGGTACAAGAAAACAGAGAAGGAAGATTTTTTTTTTTTTAATTTGTTCTCAGGATGTAAAATAATCCTTCCTCCTCATATTTGTTTTCTTGTACCCTGCAGTAATATTGAAAGTTTGTCTTCCTTGTCACATTTTAACTTTATAAGCAAAATACATACATTGAAAAACCTTTCCTCAGTGATATATTATTTATATTATCACATTCTACGCCTCAGTATTAAGTTTCTTTTGCAGTATGTTCTCTCAGGATGATTTTATTACATAAGAAGAGAGCTGAAGTTGCTTTTTCCAGCTCGTCCTCCTCCGGAGCAGAGCAGCTCTCGTGTTGTTCTCTCTGATACAAAAGGGATTTTAAGGGATGCCTTGATAGTAGCAACAGCAACTTGTGTTTACAACAGCTAACTGTGGTTTGGATAGAGTTACAGTCTGAGCCACTGTACTCTCATGAAGCTGTAGAGTAGCAGCTGTTCAGCAATTTAGCAAACACACAGCTCGTATTAGTTTACACCAAAATAACAAATATAATTGTTGTTTGTTGTGACTGTGTAAAGATAGTATTTTTATATTTTGTCTTGTCACTGGGAAAGCAATGAGGAAGTCTTTTTCATTTCCTTGTTTTTATTATGTTGGTTCCCTTCCTCCTGTCTCATGGTGTCATATTTTTGTTCATATAAAAGGTCAAATTGTAAAACTATTCGTATAAACCACGCAATCTCAACTTTTCACTTCATGCCTTTGTGTCATTTGTTTATTTCACCATCCTTTTTTAAAGGCAACTTTCCGAATTTGTCAGTATCTAAGTTGAATGAATTGAATTAAAAACATGCATGTCTATCCATTTAATTCATCATCCTTGAGTGTGAATTCATTTTTCTTGATTGGTTCCACTCCATCTCAATTTTACTTGTTGGAGTCTACAACTATCAACTATCAGAGTCCTCCCTGTGTGTCAGTTCATCCGGCCCTAACTTCCTGTCCTGTATGTGGTCTGTCTGCACCTGTGTCCTGCCAACAACGCCAGGAGGAGAAGTGTCTGGACTTTGCGGTGTCCTGTACTGGCTGATTAGCCTCTGTTAGTGCAGGAAGTGAAGTGATGCTTGAGTTTGGTAAGCCAGCTCAGTGATAGGGGAAGAGAGTCTTTGTCCTGCTGTGTCTGCATGTCCTCTTGGCTGGCTGCTGCATGGCTTTATTCACACACTGAATGATGCAGTATTCAATGTATTGCATAATTCAACACAGTACATGATGTATGTTATGTAAAATTAATTCACATTGTACAGTACATGTGTGTATTTATGGTTCAAACCCAATACAGGATGTTCTGTATGTACGATGAATACACAGTGTATATGCTGTGAAGTGAAGTCCTTAACAGTTCAACTCAACTGCGTTTGATTTAACTTTGGAAAAAAAGACCTAAGATTGGCCAGAATTTTACTTTCTGCAAAATGTGTTTTTATTGAGGCAGCATTCATAAATGAATTCAGGACATGGTCAGAGTGGAAGAATGTAATGATGCAGTTTAAAAAGGCATTATTAACAAATTCCTGTGTATGTTTGTCAATGTCTTCGTCATTTATTCGCTCTACCTGTATGTATTTTTTTCTACCTAGTCTTCAAACCTTTAGGACTTATATTTTTGAAAGATGCTGTTCAGATAGAAAATTGCCTTTACGAATATTTATTTAGAACTGTGATTCTTAGTATCTACTATATCGAGAAGTGGTAGAGCCATGGATTAGACATTAAATATAATTAATAAAAGACAACAGTAAAAAAAAAAAAAAAACAGTTTGGCCCTCAATGGAAAACAATAGGAAGGAAAAAAAGGATATTCAAAACATAAAAAAATAAATAATATTGTGTCTATATCCAGATCTAGTGTATGTGTGTACTTATTCTAGAGCTTGACCGATTAATCGGCCAGCTGATAATATCAGCTTGTCAAGTGACTATTGGTATCTGCTAATTTTACCACAGATATACGCCAATGTTACTAGATTTATTCACCAGTCAAATAGCTTTTCAACCAAGTTTGTTGTATTCAACTAGAAGTTCTCTTTCACCAGCAGAGGGCACTATAATGATTACAACAAGCATTATCATCTCCTGAGTGTCGAGCTGTGACAAATGTAAATGCTCAAGTTACTTTCAAATTGACTGACCTTCTTTTCTATATAAATTTATATCGTTTCCACAAGTGTTTGATTACTGCATTTGAGGGATCAACACAAAAAATGTATATATCTATACCTATATCTCATGATATTTTCTCTCCCTAATATTGATATCAGTATTGGTCCTAAATATCCTACATCGGTCGGGCCCTAATTTATTCCTCTTTATTTCCACATTAAGTTAATTTTTATTTTACAGAGTTGAACTTGTTTTTTTGTTTTGGCTGACTGTATTATGAAGGACATAGTGGGAACTAAAGGTCAGAATAGCATGTGCTACTTTATATTCACAATTTAACCTTTGAATTCCTCCTTTGCAAGCCACCAGCCTTTATTACACTCAAATACTGAATTTCTGGCTTCATCTATGATACTATTTTTTTTAACTCAGTCCTACTAAATCAGACAAAGTGCTCTGATGTTTCATACTTTGCCTCCACATGCAGATTAATGGCAGTAAACTTTGCATTCCCTTGCTTCGGATCACTCGTTCGACCTGCTTGCACTCCCAGCTTACCCTTAAATCATCCTAAGAAGCATTAGCTGCATTCACTGAAGTGATTTAACACCCTGCTGTTTGGCCTTTTACTCTCACTTGCTCGTCTCATCAGTTCTTGCCCCCCCCCCACCCATCTCTCTCTCTCGTGCCTCTTCAGTGCACACAGGGAACTAAAGGTCTGCTGGAGTCAGCCACACGCTCACCGCTCATCTCCACGTCCTGTCCTCAGGGGAAACCTCAGACAGCTCATACCTGCCCGGACATCAGCCCCGCACTAAACCCTGATCCCTCACCTGAGGTCTCCACGAGTTGCGGGGCCCGTCATATCACTCACAGAGAGAACTCTCTGCCACGTCACACCAAGACTCGTTCAAAGAAAAGCAAACGAGAAGCGTTGCATATTCCCAACCCGGTCTTTGATGTCCCTGTTTCCCCTACCTCTCTGGATGCTGGCCCCATCTCCAAATCTGGGGGCGACAAAGATGCCAGCTTTACCCCTTTGCACTGACTTTGTTTGACGCTTGCATGCTGTAAAACAGTCATGATTCAAGTTGTTAGGACTCGTTTTTTTTAATATTATTCATTGGTTTTCTGAAACTGCTGGGTCTTGATATTGTGAATGAGGATGACAATCACAAAGATAATGTATGTGTGTGCTCAGTTTGATGTGAAAATAGAAATGGATGGCGTTTATTATGCTGGAAAAGGATGCAGCTGGAGACTCTGGTACTGATTGGGCCATTTGTCTTTCTGATGATTTACATGTAAAATGCCAGCATGCCAGATACACTGAATATTGAAAAAAAAACCCATTTGATTGGATGTATCAAGGGAGCTGAGAAACTGTATGGATGAAAGTTGCTTCTAAAGGTAACGTCCATCCCAAATATATAGAACTCACATGTGTTATTCCTATAACATTGTGGGGGCTTCGTTTATAGTGTGATCCTGAGATAGTTTTTCCTCCTAAAGCTGTACAGCACAGGGACAGTTTGTACTGATGATGTCATAGTAATACAGATAGGCAGTGAATAATGGAAGATGTTATAGCATCCATGGAGCTCTTTCCAGGATATGAGGGACATTTTTCCATTTATACCTGAAAGCTTATTCTCATATCAAAGTCCTTTGGTCGAAGAGACGGATGACAAGCTACAGGGAAAGGCGTGTTGGTTTCCATTTGTAGTCGAAGTATAGTCATGTCTTCAGCAATCCCAGAACATCTGACAACAATAAAGCTTCTGATTCATCTGTATTGACAAATATCTGCAAATAAGTACAGATGTAAGTCTGGCAATTGTTGCTGCTTCACTACATCTCCAGTATATGGAAAAGAAAGTCAGGCTCCGGATTTCTTCCATCATGCTGATGAGAAAATTTCCATCACTCAGAGACTGAAGTTACTTTAATCTGAAGATTCACCTCATTCATTTAGGCCAGTGGCTCTCAACTGGTCTAGCCTCAGCACCCACCACCAGCTCCTTCAATAGAAATCGTAACACGAATTTCAGATATTTTTTAACCTATCAGATTTGTTCAATGAAAAATTGTCCACTTTGGACATCAGACAGTAACACAACGAGACAGAACCAAGAAACAAAACATACATTTTTGGAGAAGCGCTTCATAGACTTTTTTTTTGACACAGTATTTTTTTCAGGCACACATTAGCGACCCACTCAAAATGGCTCTGTGACTCACTTTTGGGTCCTGACCCACCAGTTGAGAAACATTGATTTAGGCTCTCATATTAACATATTTACTATCTCTAACAAAAGTGTAAGGGTCTATAAGGTTTGCTAGTCATGGTTGATAGATCAATTCCAAAACTGTCACAAGATGTTATCGTCACAGCCTTCTGTGTTTAATTAACTTCGATGTTCTTTCGTTGGGAAACACATGTGAGTTCTGTTTTGGGTGGAGTTTCCCTTTAATTGGGCGACCAGAGCACAGTATTTTAAACATGTATCAGTTGCATCAATGTTCAGATTTCTGTTCTTTATTGTTGGCAGGGAATGCATCTGCATGATAATGACTATAGTGTATAGTTTTTATTTATTTTCATCCACTCTGTCACAGATACACCTGAGAGGTCCTTTTTCTTGGAAAGGTGTGATTTTGATTCCTGAGTAAGTATGTGTAACTAAGGTGAGGGAGTAATGCCCATTACCCCGTGCTGCTCCACTTCCGTTTGTGTTATTAATGTCACACAATAGCTGTGTCTCAATTCAGGGGTCGCATCCTCTGAAGGACCCCAGCCTACAAAGGATCCAGACTCCGTAGCCTATGCAGACTGCTCTGGCTGAGACCGTCAGTGGATTTGTCGTTTGCATCACCAGCTGTTCGTTACTCATCGCCGCCCCTGTTTTCGTGAAACCTCGATTGCTGCACCGGTTCCAGCTAACTTAACTAACGTTTGAATTGGTGCACAATGAATTGTAGGATATGTTGGGCCATGATGCAGCTGATGGATCCTTTGTTGGCCGCATTTAAAGGAGCCTTTTGAATGGGACAGCCCCACAGACTGTGTATAAAACATGGACATACTCTCAGTGATGTAACCTTTTGGTTTCTGAAGTAGAGATTGCTGTCAACTTAAATAATGGAAATGCTGTCTCAAAATATCTTTCGGTCAATCTAGAAACAGTAGAGATTTCGAGCTGAGGCGGGCCTTAAGCCCGTCAATCAGATCAGCCACGCCCCTTTTTATGAATGATTCTTCGCCCTAATATCCTCAAAATGGACGAGTTACAAGCCAGACTGTAAACATGTTTATTTCTGCTGTAAAGTCAGTCATCTTTGAAAGGATTTGTTTGTTTCTTATTGAGCTCTATCTGCTGGCCTCAAGTGGATACTCGGGGAACTGCAGGTTTTTTTTCATTGGCTTCTTTTTTCAAAGCTGGAGGTCGTCGCTTGGAAAGCCCTCAGTGTGCTGCTGTGACATAATAGGTCTTCAAATTTTCCCTCCAGAGGATGAGGCCCCTAAATGGAGCCACAGCTAATGATTGAATCTGTTAAACCTTGAATTCCTGTTCTTCAGTTTGTATCAACATTAATACCTGTTCTCACCTCTGTACTGTAGGACTGTTTTACTTTGCTCACTTTGACAGATCCACTTACATGTTTGTAAAGGTGACTGTTGGTTTGTTCTCAGGTGGAAAGTTGTGGGTTTTTTGGTATCCCAAATGCAACTTTTATGTGACAAGTATTATATTAAAAACCACATTTTAACCTGATGGCAATAGCTGCACGAAAATGCAATGATCCAAATAACCATGCACACTTGCACACCCTCACTGTCAATCAGTAGCTAACCTAACAAGAGTGTTACTATTAGTGGAAAACTCACTTGTTGTGCAACATTTTCTGTGTCAAATGTCGTCCCAACACCTTCTGGATGCTGGTAGGAAAGAATGCAGGCAATGCATTTCTGAGGAGGAACATGATGTACTGTATTTGTATGAATCGTAAGGTTATTTAAAGCCTATACTCCTGTCAAAATAAAGGAAAAGGAAAATAAAATTCACTGAAGTTGTTGTATTGAATGCTGGGGTTGACCACCAGATGGCAGTAATGACATTAACATGGAGCTACAGTCAGATCATCCATTCACACTCAACCAGTGTAATGAATACTCTGCACATATTTAGTTGCGGGCACTTTTTTTTTCTTTTTTTGCATTGTCCTTTAACAAAGGAGGATTTGTCTTCCTCCTTTGTGATTGCAGACAATAAAAAGGAGTTCAATACAGCCTCTTTCTCAGGTCTGTATAACTAAGAATAAAAATAAACAAAGGTTTTTCTTTTTAAATTGGTCTCTCAGGGTTTTATCCAGTCACCATATTGTGGAATCAAATGAAACAGTGGTTTAAAGGAGAGCTGTGTTCAGGGAGCAGACAGGTGTGTTTTTAAATGCAGAGGTAGATTTGAGGCACGAGAAATGACACGTGAGTTTTGTTTTTTTTTGGTCTGAATTCCACGGCTGACTGTGAAACTGGATGTGAACGAGTTTTGTTCTTCCCTTTATCAGCAGGGATCACTGACCAACATCCGCAGACTCTACTTGTTTGTGGTATTTTACCTGTATAACTCATATTAGTAAAAGATCAAAAGTTACTTCAAAGAAAATCCACATACATGTCACATTTGTGTAAAAGAAGGATTTAACACCTGAACAACTTGGCTTATCTTGTCAGATCAGATTTGATTGTCTGGGGCGCTGGTAGCCTATGGTTACTGCGCGCGCCCCATGGACGGAGGCTGTAGTCCTCCAAGGGAGCAGTCAAGGTTCGAATCCTACTTGTGGCTACTTTCCTGTATCACATTTCCCACTCGCTCTCTCTTTCTCCGATTTCTGACTCTATTAATTAATTAATCTTTAAATAAAAGCACCTGACCAATGCCTGAATTAAACAGAAAAATGAAGTAACAAATGGAAGCTCCTGGTACGTCTTATCTGTTTGCTGATCTAGCCTGTGACATCTGTAGGCTGTATTTCCTGTTGAAAACTCATCCAGCTTTGTTCAGCAGTCAAACGTGTGACTCGGGATGAATCTTTGCAGTGGAAATGTTTTTTTAAAGTCTGTTTCTGTGGGGTGTCTGACACAGACACACTGACAGCAGCACCAGACATTCAAAATGACCATGTAGATGAAGGCATTCTTCTTCCTGACGGTCTGGTTTACTTTTGCAGCTCATAAAGAGGCATCAGTATTTAGTCTGTTTCATAACAATGTCCTTCGATTAACTCTGAACAAATGCATGAGAAATAATGACAACTTCAGACTTTCATTAGAGTCTGAATCTTGATTGGTCCCTGTGACTCCGGTGTCAAGTGGCTCCAGTGGTGACTGTGGAAACCAACCCAGAAACACATGATGAAAAAAACACCAGTCCATTACAGAACACACAACAAGACTTATTACTGAGAGCAGAAGTTGATGGAGAAAGAAAAGTTGTCAGGGGCAGCGGGTCTTTGATGAGTTTAACAGACTGCTGAGAAAAGACTGGAGCGTGTTCTGTTGCCCTCATTGATTTATTCGACCAATTGATTCACTTCTATGTAAATATCTCGCCAAGAACCGAGGCCAAAAAAGCTTTCTAACCTTTTTTTCTTTTGCACAATTATGTGCTGCTTGCTGCTCTTGCACACTACATTGTTTCCACTGCTGGCCCCATCACTACAGCCTCTTGTACCCATCATAAAATTGACATGTTCAAAAAAAAAATTACTTTGCTGGTCACTGAGAAAAATATAAAAACCATGAATTCAAACCTTATAATGCAAAAGATATGAACTGACGTTGTGTCAGCGTTGAAGATAGGATAACATCCATGGTGTCCCTCACGTCTGTCAGTCTTTCTAATGAAGACATTGTGAAAGAGATCTTTAACTCTCCTTCTCTTTTCTCTTTCTCTAAAGCAAAGAATGTCCGGGGAACACTGGCACCCACAAACATTTTATCCACCTAGGAAGAATTAGATGTGTCCTGCTTTCTGTGACTTTGTTGTCATGCTGTACGAGTGTATCCCACTCTCACATTCATGTGTGTTTATATAAAAGTACAAGGACCTCTTTTTGTCACATGTTGCCATGGTGGTGGTATCGGGGCTCCATTAATGTTGGCTTTATAGTCGTGGTGCCCGCGCTGAACTCCGAGTGAACCTACTCAGAGTTGATTTTTAACAAAGTCAAATCAGCTGTTCTGGAACCAAAAATTCAGAGTTTCTCACCTGAGGGTAAATCAACTCAGAGCTCAGGGATAGACTAATCGAGTTTGTTGAACGGGCCCCTGGTCTGGCCTCTTTGGCGTCACAGGTGCTTCATCAAGCTCTTAATCAGTGATCAGATTCACCTGTGGAGTAAATTAGTAGTTAGTTACTGACTACCCTACCAGAGAACAAGACACATTTAGGAGATATTTAAGGTGCAGCTCAACATCTATGATCCCTGAGGAGTAATATGCAGACAGAATGGCTTGTGTCATAATTTCAACCTTCCAGCCGTGCACATTAAACCGGTCAAACTGGTCAGTGTTCACTGACCTGTTTACAATTTCCTAACATCTGTGTAGTGTGTTATGTGAACACAAATGTCAAAGTGATCTTGTGTCACTATCGGGTGACAATGATCTGAAAGCCCAGGGGCGTATGAACGTATACACCACCACACACCCTGTAATTACTCCAGATTAAGTACATTGTGTAGGTATTTGTTAATTGAACCTTTTCTCTGAAGAAAATGCCGTGCTCATGTTTGTCAGTACATGCATCCAGCACAAATGAGGAATGGCAAATAGTCAACGACTTAACAACTGCTTCAGGTGGCCTTGCAGGCTTGCTGTCTCAGGGAGCTCATAAAACATGATTGTTTCATGTTTCTTTATGCTATTCACCTCGGGAGAAAAAGAAGATATTGCCACTGCAGTGGTAAACAGATTTTGCAAACTACAAAAGTGTAGTTCAACATAATAAAAAGTGAAACATGATTTGGTTGCTGGTGTGTTTCCCCCAGCCAATGAGCCTGGTGTAGGAGTATGACACACTTCAGCGATTGGCTGCGGTTCAAACTGGTGAATATGATGGACTTGGATGTAGCGGCAAAGCAGAGAAAATGTAATCATAGTGTGGTGAAACGCCAAGCGGATAACGCTCAGTTCCAAACAAGGGTGAACCTTCGGAAGGCTTCTACCTGCGGACGCGGAGTTGGCCTGCTTTCTGTTGGACAGGCAGGTGCTAAACATCAGAGGTTAGCTTGTGCTAGTGCCCGGTATCGAGAGTGTGGTAGCTATGAGCCCAGGAGGAGGGGCCCAGACTGAATGTTGTGTTAGTAAACTGCAACAAACATTTGAACTGACTCCACCTTTAATTTCATTATGTTAGTTCATGTTTTCAGCATATTGTTATGTCCTGTTTTGTGGCGGCCATGATAAGAGCCGTTGGAATTCTCTAAAAGCTAAAGAAAGGTGGGTCAGTGCTTCCTTTATAACCTCCTTTAACATTGGATACACTGGACCATCCTTTACAAAAGAGATGAGATATGCAGCCCCATAATTCCTTGCGGCTGCAACATTTAAAGCGACTCGCGCATCCGACCGTTCCCGGAAACTAACAATGATTGTAAAGGGGCTCAGATCATGTAAGAGACATTTTAAACCAGATGATGTTTTATTCAACATATTTCATTCACTTAAGGATGCTTTGTGCAGTTGTACATTTGTATGCTTAAAACATTATGTATATCTTGCTTATAATGTAACAATTCATTTCATACAATCATATTTATTTTGATGTTGATTTCTGAGTGGACAGGAAGGTGATGGTTTCACTTTTCTTACTCGTAGCCTGGTAGTCTATATGTCTTTTATTTCAATTCCTCGTGGTAATTAGGATTATTTCATCGGTAAGAGGCACAGGAGAAAGTTTTTTAGATGTGCTTTTAGTAGTCCACTTTCGGAACATTGTAGTTTCAACACGGCAGACCCACGTCATTCACCTCCGCCGGCCCATCGCATTTAATGACGTCGCCAAGTGGAAATGCAGTCGGATTGTCAGAGCAACGCGATTGCCTTTCCCTAAGTCCTTTATGAATTCTCCTAACATCTTTCCTAAACCTCATGACATTTTCCCCGGGGTTAATGCTACGAAGATTATTGAAATATAACTGTTAAAAGTTGATGTACAATACGTGAATAAAAAAAAGTATTTTAACATTAATAAAACAAATTTTGCCCCTCATGATGACGATTCTGATGTCAAGTCGGGAAGTCGGCACTTAATTCTTTGCTGTTGTTCTGACTTGAGCAGGTGTTCATGTTCATTTTACAACTTACAACATTACCAGAGAATGATTTCAACATCATGATTTTGTTTTGTACATCTTTTCCTGTTTGATTGGATTTACTGTGTACTGAACTGAACTGAATAAATACCTGTCTGATTTTACTCTCCGTCCCTCTGGAGTCGTGCTTTTGGATCGGTTGTATGTACTTTGTGTCACTTGTATATAATGAACTCTGAAAGCGTCTTTATTTCAATCTAACAAGAGTTCAAATTAGGGTGTAGGCCTGTGTTTAGAGCTTCAAATATTGATCTCATATAACATCATGTATTTCGACTTTCATTTGTCTAAGAAGAACTGAAACATTTGAGAAAATCATTCTCTCAAGATGCCAACATTTTGAGGAATTGTTTCACAGAACATATGAAACCCCACACATCAGCAGTAAAATATCTTAACAAGATTTTTTGCTAGCTGTCTAACTGGCAGTTTACATTTCTGTCTTACATGTGTGCAGCTTACGAGGGAACACGGGGGCTCCCCTCTCACCGTACGAGCCGAGGAATGTCAGGACAAATTAGACTGCCGAGGGCCGAAAGAGTCTGCCATGTTTAATAAGTTCCTCAAAAGAACAAATAAATTTTAATGGAGAACTGCTGCGTAACATCGCTGATCTCCCCTTCCTTGTCTCGTGTGTGTCATGAAAACACACCGCTGTTGCCATGGCGATTCCCCCTCTCTCCTTAA